CATCGGCCACGGATCTATCAGGAGGAGGCTAACCAGAGACTGTTGTCTGCCGCTTGTTGCCGCAGAGACATGTGCACTGATGAAATCCAGGAGAGTCGGGAGTTAAGGGGGATGTGGGGGATGGCAGCTGGATCAGATCACTGCATGCCCTACACAACAGATTCCAACTCCCCTCGTTGAAGGTGGACTTTCTGGCAAACTTGATCCTCCCCTTGCATCAACGCCTTTTCCCCATCATCTCTGGAGTCAAGGCTGGCTTGGAGGAATGTCTCACCTGGCTCAAGGAATCAGACTCTTGGCACATGTCGGGGGGTATTATAACACTCCCCACGGGCAAGAGGGCCCAGTCGGGCATTCCTCTCTTACATCGGAATTACCTTTTGGTCCGAGCAGGCAACCCGCTGTGGGCTGAAAGGCCTGTGAAGTCAGCTGGAAGGACCCCAAGCGCTCCCACAAAGGCGCTAGGTTGTTTGTTACTTTGCAAAAGGTCCGGAGGTGGCCTTGTATGGCGGCGATACTCTGGGATCCGTTTCCCGTGTCCGAGGCCCTTATTGAGTTTCGTCACTGTTGGCTAATCCGGCTCTTGGAGGACCTTGGGAAACGAGCGTACCTCCCACTGGCCCTGTTCCTCCCCCCTCACAGATTCCCAAGGGAAACGAGACATTGCAGAACAATCTCCAATTAAGAGCAGCCTTACATACTGTACCACTCAGCTATGGTCTCGCCAGCCTCCTCCCCTTCTTTAGCCTCTCTGCTCCCTCGGCCAAAAAGCCTCAGGGTAGAATTTGCGTTGTCTCCCGAGTCTCGGTCCTGGCACTTTTGGGAAAGGTTTTGGAAGTGTTGATGTGGGGAGGGAAATGAATGATGTGGGGGGGACTGTGTGTCCTTGGTCAACAGGACTTTGTGGGATGCGACTGTCTGATTCTCTGGGGCCTTTGCTTTTCGTTCTTGATCCTGCATCGCAGCCATGGCTTCACGGCCGTGGTATTATTGGGCCCTGAGACTCACCTGACCTCGCCGTCACCCTTGCGCCGCCTTCGTTGTCGACTCTCAGATGCTCACACGCAAACTTACTGGCCGACATGACTCTAACTGTTGACATCACTGACACTTTACATGAACTGGGTCTTGGAATTAACCTTGTAAGTCAATGTGCCACCGCAGTAGGGACAAAATCATCAGTGCGTTTATTGGCAGGAGTAGATACGAATGCGGCCCATATCTGAGATGCTAAGAAAAAAAAAATGGTGTTGAAGAGTGGCAGGAGGGGAAGGTGGGGAATTGGTGCTTGATAAATATTCACCTCTCCGAACCCTCATCCCCTTCTCCGTCTTCCCGTCTTCTTGTTTTTGCATTTATCTCACATCATTGCATCTGTCCTTTCCGCTGGCTTTGCCTCTGTGTTGAGTTGAGGAATGCAGACTCCCTTCGCGGATCCGAGGGGCGAGTGCGGGCAGGTCCGGGGTATAGCCCGCTGGTCGGCTTCTGCTCGCAGGTCAGATTAGTCGACCGCCATACCAGGAGTGACATTGAAATCATCCTGACATTGTCCTTTCCCTCAATGCCAAGTTGCGTCTTACAGTTGTCTGGATTTGGTTTCTGTGTCTGTGTCGGTGTCAGTGCGGTGAGGAGATTTGATCTCATTTCCACTGGCCCACATTGTTTGTCGTTGGCTTCCACCCGGCTGTGGCGTCATGTGAAGCGGAGTTAAGAGCACCAGTTGTGACCTGTTTTGCCTCTGCCCCGCGGCTCTTTGATGCTCCACCGCATCGCCTTTTATTGTCCCTGTTTACCCAATGGGACAGGGATATGGGCTGGGCCCACATGGGGGCTGATGGGGCTTTAAGGAGTTTGTGCAGGTGCTCTAACACCCCCCTAAACTTGAACCCCCGCTCCTCCTCTGCTTTCCCCGAGGGCAACCTGTCAGTGTGTTTATTTTCTCCTGTGTCAGGACCTTAGCTCCCTCTTATCCACTGGCGGGGGGGATGGATGGTGCCGTGCCTGCGTTGGAGTTCCGCAGCACAGTGAATAGAAGGTGCTGTCTCTTTGACAGGGAATGGTTCATTTTCATTACGTTACAGAGTTGTATGCCATTATGAGGAAAAAAAAAAGAAACACTGACTTTTTGCTGCTACAGTAATGCCAGATCATCTGCTTGGACACATCTCCTGTGGTGTTACCTCTTAGCATCTCAGAGTTGTACTATATGTATAATGTACCTGGATCTTTTAAGTTATGGTTTGTTGGCAAATTGTAAGAAAAATAAGCTGACTTTTGCTGACGAAGAGATGCTAGAACGTTTGCTTCTCGGTCTATAATACTTTTTAGACCAGCCTGAACGCTTCTCCTCTGGTGTTAACCTAAGCCTTTATGCTAACGTTACATTTCAGAGTTACATGCTGTATTTGGAGCATAAATTGCAGCAACTTCACTAGGTACAAGTAAAATAAAGTGACTTTGGTTTGCCATAGTAATGCCCAAACATTACTTTTCAGTCTATAATACTTTTGGGCATCTTTTCTGTGTTGTTATTCCCTAGCATTGTTGCTAGTGTTGAATTTCAGAGTATTATGCCACATCTGGCCCATTAAATTAGTTCAAGTTAGTCATAAAATAAAGTGTCTCTTTTGTTACCTTAGTGATGCCAGAGCATCTGCTTTTCAGTCCATAATAGTGTTTGGACCAATCTGTACACATATACCGTGGTGTTAGTGTTTAGCATTTATGCTAACATTACTCCTCAGGGATCATGCATTGCCTGCCGTTATATAGTTATAAGAAAAACAAAATTACTTTTGCTGCTATTGTTGCTTCATAAGCTCCTTTCTTTTCTATACTAAAGGTGGACCACTCTAGATATCCCTTTTGTTGTGTTAGCATTAGCTTTATCAGCAATTATAGTTGCAGTAGACCAGTAGCGCTTGTTGTTAAAATAATGTGACGGTTTATATTCGCCGCAGTGGGTAGAAAGTGAATTCACTTGTCAACAGTTGGAACCAAAACACAACAATTCCTGACTGCTGCTTTACCGTATCAATGGCCGGTCTTGACGGGACAGGTTGCCTAACCCTCAGCATGCGTTGCCGCCAGCATCAGTCGGAACCTCGCTAATGGGATTTTGGGGTTGACACCAGATATCCTAGTGGTGTGTGTGTGTGTGTGTGTGTGTGTGTGTGTGTGTGTGTCTTCATGGTGACGGATATCAGAGAAAAGTCAACTAGATAGGCGGGAAGATGGATGCCCTCGTGCGTTTCCTTCGCAGCGCCAGATGGACGGCCCGATATGCAGCTGTGTGTGTGTTTACACAAGGGCGACCTGTCGCCATAGCGCTCTCAGAAACGGAAGGCAGTTATCATATAGCGCAGGCCTGGTGCAAATTTTTGTGCTCAAGGGCTACTTTTGGATTTCTTAAAACTGACAGATGGGCCTGGTCATTTGCCGATGCGGTAATAAAAAATATATGTACTCCAATGAGTAGTTTGACTGAAATTTAAGGACATCAACGAATAGAAACATAAACAATGAATATACATTTTAATTGACCAATTTGATGCAAAAAGGGCTACATTATTGCAACAAATATTGTAGTAGTCTGGATAGAATAAATGCTCGGTGGGCCACACTAAAGAACATAACGGGCCATACTTTTCCCACTCACGGTGTGAAGTACAGGGACGATGTTAGCGGGCGCATGTTTTGTAGGCCCCTCGTGTCTTATTATTGTAATTATATATCATGAAGCCAGCAAGCTGGGGGCCTGTCGCAGCATGTGGCGTGGCAATGCGGGTTTTGATGTGAGACTGCATAAAGTATTCTTGAAGCCAGATTGCACAGTAGCACGCTGAAATCGCAACTACGTTGCCTTTAGTGCTTTCATTGTTGGTTTAAGCACTTCTACACCTGTTATTCCAAGAATGTGTGTGTGTGTGTGTGTGTGTGTGTGTGTGTGTGTGTGTGTGTGTGTGTGTGTGTGTGTGTTTGCAAATCTGTCTGTGTGCGTATGTTTGATTGTAATATTGTACTATCACTATTTTACGAAATTACTTTCAAATCACAGTTTAACAATATTGTGACTGAATCGACTACTTTTTGCCAAAAGCAGCTTTTATGTAGCATACCAACAATTGCCTTAGCTGAGCTTTAGCACCCCCCTTCCCACTCCCTGTAGGACCCCCAACCCGACACTCGTCATCTTTTTAATTTGCCTCCTCGGCTTGGCTCTTCCGCTGAAGCATTGGCATCAATATCACAGCTGGGCGGCCATTGTGGTGCTCAAGACCAGGTTACCGAGCAGGAACCCCCGGGATCAAAGCCTGGCCCTGGATTACCCTCGGAAAGCAGAGGATAAGGAGAAGGAGGAGGAGATGTGGGTGGGGGCTGCTTGAAAAGGAGCAATGCTTCTTATTACGCCCCATTTTTTGGGCTGGTCAAGCCAGGACCACTGGAACGTCAGGCTAGAGTGAACCTATCGGGACGCAGAACGTGAGAGTGAGATAAAGAGAGTGGCCGACACTCCCTCAATCGAGATTGTTGCCAAGGAAGTACAGTGGAGCCTTGAGATACAAGTAGGCTCTGTCCCGATCGTAAACATAAACTTCAAGATTAAAAATGTTTTAACACTGATTCCAAATCTCCCCTCGTTTTTTCTTTTTCAAAATCATTCAGGGCGATTTTTTTTGTCTTGTCCTGTGATTGGCTGACGACCAGCCCAGCCTGGACTCCGCCTGTCACCCAAATTAATCTTGTACATCACGAAATGGATGATGGATGTTTGATAAACACAAAGTGAAGTGGGCCCCTCTCTTTCTTGTATTTTTTTTTTCCTGTTCGTGGCCCCAAGTGGAAAAACTGTTGATGTCCTTGCCGCAGAGCCCGCGAAGGGGGTCAAGTGGTGCCACGTGAAGATTAGAGAGATGCTCTCCATTGTCTCCTTTCGTCGCCGTGGCTGCAAGCTGGTGTCTGATGTCTTTTTGATTTTCTTGCTCCTCCTCTTCTTCCAGGTTGGCCAATCGGAGGAGGGCGTGCACACCGGCCGATCACGGCTGCCGGCAGGGGTCCGAGGGCGCCATGGACGATGGCCTCAGGGTACTCCTGTGCGCTCTGCTGTGTCTTAGCCAGGCCCTGCTCTTCGGCTGCACACGTCAGTTGCCTTTGGTTATAAGACGATCTAGCTAGCTGTCTGTCTGTGTATCCCTCTGTCTCTCCGTCTGCCTCAGGAATGGACAGCGGAAATGATGGAGGGGGCCGCAATTTTTCATCAGTGCTACTGGGGAGGGGAAGGGGTGACACATAGGACCACAGACTTCCTAACCACATGTATGACAAAAATTCAGTTTTAAATCTGGACAAAATACATCCATACGTGCTCTTAATGTATTCCAATTTTCATCATAAATTTCTCAATGCATACATAAGACTCTCTTGCATAAAAGTTACCGATCAACCCACACAGAATGTTTACATTGCTGAGGAACTGTCCTGCATATCAATCCAAATGTGTTGATAATTAACACCCATTCAATTGCATTAGGCGGGTGGTTAAAAAAAAAAACTGTAAGTCCATAATATTCGACAAAAACGAATCTCCAATAAATATTTTCCTTGAAAAATCGCAACAAATCAAAAGCAAAAATTGAAATTAAATCCACAAATGGTGCCGAGGTTGAGTATTTGGGAGTCCACTGTGGTCGAGGAAAAATGTTTATCATTTCTTGGGCTGGGAAAAAATGTCAACCAACTCGGTTGTGTCAACCACAAAAATTGGTCAAAACAAAGATGCATGCCTTGAAACTTTTTAATAACTTTAAAATCCATGTTTGCGGCACCTAGAAACAATGCTTGTCCACTTTTGTGTTTCCGCACGGACATTTGTAGCTGTGGACTCATGTTTTCCGGCAACAAATCTGGCGGCGTGACAACAACATCCGTGTCGCATTTCGTGTTCTGAGGAGCGAGGAGCTGGGAGCCTTGCAATTACGAAACATGTGATGTGACTTAATATACGTATGTTTTCCTCCCATAGTTTAATTCCTAATTTGACAACCGTCATTTCCAGTTGTACTTGCTGAGTTTCAACTTGGAAGTTTCTTACTATCATGGCGGCAAAGCAAAACCTCCCACTCGTGTCTTTGTGTGCTTTGCACATAGCGGTGCAACATTGAAGAGGACGTGTTACTTCCATCTTAACTGAAATTTTTTTTTTTTGGAGCAGACTCCTTAACCATGTCGACACTAAGCGGTACAATTCTCATTTCCACTTGTAAAAGTCATCAAGTTCATGGATGGATGGATATATAAATCAATAATAATAATAATATTAATAAATCAATAAATCAGTACAATTAAAAAAATCTGACCTAAAAGAGCAGGGCCTTATTCAGTGCAGTGTGTTGATTGGACCTGATAATCGCAACCAAACCTTGATTATTACCCCGAAATGAAGAATTAAAATGGAAAATAAAAAAGGTTGTAAGCAATGTCACAAACATATCAGAGCTTTTAATTTGTTCATAGGAAGGAGTCATTGATTTAATATGTTTGTTTTATTGGCTGCTTATAAAATCATTGATTGCAAATTATTTTGCGGACCCCCAACTCGTGGACACCTGCGGGTCCAGTGAGCCCAGTTTGAGAACCACTTATGGCTCCTAAGTGTTAACTTGCTCTTCTTCTGATGTCTATTTATGAATCTGACGCAGGCCGTCTTGCCTACTCGCCCATCACGTCAGGATTTACCGCGTACCGGCAACGTGGTTTTACTCCCTCCACTCATCATCCACCCTCTTTCCCTCCTCAGTTCAATATCCGTCTTTCCGCTCTGAGCCCGCCTCATTGGTGCAAAGTCCGGGTTCGCCGGCTCGCCTACGCTGCGCCGCCGACCCCCTGTCGGCGACGCTGTCCTGGCGCTTCCGGGGCGCACCCCTGCGCGTCGACACCCTACCCGGCGTGGAGCTGAATGGCGGGACGCTCACCATCGCCTCCTTGCAGCGTGCCCACGTCGGCGTCTACCAGTGCGTGGCACGCTTGGACCACGGGCTGGCTGTCGCCAGCCGATATGCGCGGGTAGACCTGGCAGGTATGTGCACTTTTCTTTCCACTCTTGGTAAAGCACACGTTGTACTTGAGTAGAACAACGATACCTGTGTTAAAAGCCAAAGACCTGAGTCAACTCTTGTACTTAAGTAAAAGTAAAAAAAAAACAAAAAAAAAAACAGATTTTTTTCGGATATTTTTGTAGTATTGTCAAATATTTTTCAATGATTTCTTTATTTTTAATTTGGGGAGCCAACGAGGAAAGCACTTACTGGCCGTATATCCCCGCCTATTGACTTTAAAAATAAATAAATAAATAAACAGACAGATAAATAAATTTATGTGTAATATTGGTGGTCATCAATTTTGTCAGATGTAAAATACGTTTTGCAGGCCCCTGAAATTTTTCTGTCGGCGGACGGTGGGGGTTCTAGATCCCCTTTCAGGCGGATGCCCTGGGCCTTCGCCCCATCGCCTCCAAAGCCCCAAGCCCCCCACCCTCACGCCAGAAGATAGCGTACTACTATATTTAAGTAAAGTACAGATACTTGAAGACTCAACTTAACTTGCAAAGTATTTGTAATTTGTTCCTTCCCACCACTGCATGAAAAGCAATGAGGCAAGCCAGGAAGTTCTTTTCGTAAAGGGGCGAGGACGCCTGCCGCTGAGTGGCGACGGGAAGGAAGCAGAAGGGGTTCTGACATCCTTAATGAGCCTTTGGGTTTTCCTTTCCCCAGTCATAACAGCACTTGCCACTTCCTAACGTTCCCTCTCCGTTGGGCCACGCAGAAATCTCAGAGTACAAAGACAGCCGGCGGCGCTCGCTGTCCGTCCACGAAGGTGACGCGGCAATCATCGAGTGTCCTCTACCCACTAGCGTGCCGACGGCCTTGCCCAGGCTACGAGTGAGAGGCGAGCGCGTGGAGTCATCCTCAGGTTCTTCTCTCCGACATGTTTTCTTTTAAGTCAAATTCCAATTTGTTGTCCAATAGCTGGAATGTCTCTCTTTTTAGACGACTATTTAGTCCTTCCGTCAGGTAACCTGCAGATCCCGTCCGTCTCGCCGCGGCATCAAGGCGTCTACAAGTGTGGCTCGTACAATCCTGTCACGGGGGAAACCGTCATGCAGACCCACGGTACCAAAATCTCTGTCCGACGTAAGTCTCGTTGGAATTTAAACCTTTTTTTTTTTTTTTTTTTTTTTTTTTTCATGATTCACTCAAACCCCCCAAACTTTCTGTCAAAAAAAAAAACAGATTTTTTTCGGATATTTTTGTAGTATTGTCAAATATTTTTCAATGATTTCTTTATTTTTAATTTGGGGAGCCAACGAGGAAAGCACTTACTGGCCGTATATCCCCGCCTATTGACTTTAAAAATAAATAAATAAATAAACAGACAGATAAATAAATTTATGTGTAATATTGGTGGTCATCAATTTTGTCAGATGTAAAATACGTTTTGCAGGCCCCTGAAATTTTTCTGTCGGCGGACGGTGGGGGTTCTAGATCCCCTTTCAGGCGGATGCCCTGGGCCTTCGCCCCATCGCCTCCAAAGCCCCAAGCCCCCCACCCTCACGCCAGAAGATAGCGTACTACTATATTTAAGTAAAGTACAGATACTTGAAGACTCAACTTAACTTGCAAAGTATTTGTAATTTGTTCCTTCCCACCACTGCATGAAAAGCAATGAGGCAAGCCAGGAAGTTCTTTTCGTAAAGGGGCGAGGACGCCTGCCGCTGAGTGGCGACGGGAAGGAAGCAGAAGGGGTTCTGACATCCTTAATGAGCCTTTGGGTTTTCCTTTCCCCAGTCATAACAGCACTTGCCACTTCCTAACGTTCCCTCTCCGTTGGGCCACGCAGAAATCTCAGAGTACAAAGACAGCCGGCGGCGCTCGCTGTCCGTCCACGAAGGTGACGCGGCAATCATCGAGTGTCCTCTACCCACTAGCGTGCCGACGGCCTTGCCCAGGCTACGAGTGAGAGGCGAGCGCGTGGAGTCATCCTCAGGTTCTTCTCTCCGACATGTTTTCTTTTAAGTCAAATTCCAATTTGTTGTCCAATAGCTGGAATGTCTCTCTTTTTAGACGACTATTTAGTCCTTCCGTCAGGTAACCTGCAGATCCCGTCCGTCTCGCCGCGGCATCAAGGCGTCTACAAGTGTGGCTCGTACAATCCTGTCACGGGGGAAACCGTCATGCAGACCCACGGTACCAAAATCTCTGTCCGACGTAAGTCTCGTTGGAATTTAAACCTTTTTTTTTTTTTTTTTTTTTTTTAATCATACATACTGTACAAGCCCACTGACTGTTCTTGCTGCTTTTTGTTTTAGCTTAGTTTTATGTAGTATTATATGTACTGTATTATGACTATGTATATAAGCAGATGGTGCTTATTCAATTCTCGAATGCTTATTTATTCGTTTATACCTTGTGTTTTGGGTGCATATAACGCTGCTGACTATTCTTGCTGCAGTTCACACTCATGTGTAGTACCTGCCTATTCGTGCACAGCTTGCATTCACACCTACATATTTATTTAGTGATTTATTTATTACTCTAAGTTGCTACAGTATATGCAATGTTGCTATTCTTCAAATTCACTTTTGTTCATATTCATTGATTATAGTTTATTTAGTTTGTAGTTTATTTTATAAATGAGCAAAATGATATAATTCACAGCGCTAATCAAATTCCCTTCTGTATTCTGAAGTTTCCTCATTACGAGATTAATGCAGGCTTATTCTATTCTATTTAGATGCAAACTCCTCCTCCTCTCCAATGCGGATAGTTTACCCCACCACCCCCAAGAATGTGACATTGCAGTGGTCCCAATCGTACACGCTGGAGTGCGTGGTTTCCGGAAGTCCGGCCCCGTCGTCCACATGGTTCAAGAATGGTGAGCGAGTCGGACTGGGGCCTTCGCTGCGACACCTGCATGGCAATTTAGAAATTGTCTCCGTGACGACGGAGGACATCGGAGTATACGTTTGTGCTGCTGAGGGCGAGCAAGGGACGGTGATGAGCGCCAACTACATCGTCAACGTTCTCGGTGAGGGTTCTCAAGTTTTGGATCGCAGATCTTGATTTTGAGAACCGTTGTCCTAAAAGTCTGATGGGAATCTTCCCCCCCGTGCAGAACCTGCGGCCGTCTTGGAGGGCCTCGTTGACCTCCAGCAGGCCTCTCTCGGCTCCAGTGCTCATTTCAGCTGCGTGGCCGCGGGCAACCCCGTCCCCAACGTCACCTGGCTGTTCAACGCCAAGCCCGTGGCCGCCTCGCACCGGGTACGAATCTCCGGAGTCCAGCTCGTCATCGCGGATGTGGTGCCGCGGGACCAAGGCGTGTACCAATGTCTGCTGGACAATGGCATCGGGTCGGCGCAGTCGTCGGGAATGCTGACAGTGCAGTCGGGTATGTCAATCATCGAAGAAAAAAAAAAAGTAGTAGTCCTACATAATATAGTCCAATTGTATATCCTTGTTTGTTCACTTTCATGTCACTCACAAACAACAGCTATTTCGAAACATTTTATTTGGGTGACTTTTTGGTTTATATGACTGCTGCTAAGACTCCAAAAGCCTCCAATTGAATGTTCAGAGTTACTTCAGGCCACTTGTACAGTGACGTACTCGGCGAAAGTAAACATCTGAGTCGAGGCTGCGCAGTAAAGAGTTAAGCCATCCACGTCTGGAGGCAGTACTCAGGCTTGGTGGGGTGGGCGGTGGGGGTGGGGTTGTGTTGCGCCAAGGCCGCCCTCCTTTTCCCCGAGCTGGATGGTGAGAGTGAGCTTTGTGCATGCCGCCCGGGGATAAGCCCCCGCGGACGCTGGAATGCGAGGAGTAGCTGTGAAGGGTTAGGACTGGGAGCAGACCACCGGGCTGTCAACGTGCTCCACACCCGCCTTGTATTTACGTCCTCCCACCCCTCCATCCACTCCTCCTTCCATCCCTGCGTTGTGTTTCCACTGGAAGATGCAACCAGAAAGCAGGCTGAGCTGATAGGGGCTTTTGTGTTGGGTGGTACCAGCCCCAGCCAGCGTGCTGAGCCAGCATCCCGAAAACATTCCACTTGTAAGGAAGACTGCAAAAACTCAAATCTAACCGTAATTAAATATTTCAAGTTGAAGATATTTATGTGTGACCAGGCAGTCACTGGGTAAGAGCGTTTCACTTGCCTCAAGCATTTTCCTAAATCTTCCTAAATCTTGATATGGTATGAGAGCTAATTGATCTTTTACGACTACGTATGTGTACGTTTATCTTCAACTAATTATAATAATTAATTCTCGAGGTGTGGGTAGTGTTGATACAGATTTCTTCGTTGTCAAATTTTCCTGTTCTCTTGTCAAATATTTTGTCTTAAATTAACGAGCAATACTGCTCGTTTCACAACTTTTTCAGACCAGTTTTTGCAGTTAAATTTGTTCTTCTAACGGACCTGTAAGAGAAAGTTCATATGTTGGGGGGGCGTTATTTTCTCCATGGCAACGAGATGTTGCTGTCACATGATTGGCCTTTCCTGTGAGTCCATCGATCGCACTGACCAATCAAAGGACAACAATATAGGTAGGGGGGGGGACATTTTACTACATTTAGAATACGTTCTCGGCCCCAGCACCAATCACATTTTAGGCCGCTGCGGACATAATAAAACTGTGTGAATGAGAAAGCTGGAATGCGCGCATGCGTTTCCATTTATTTCAAAGGGGAATCGTTGATTTGAGTTATGAATATTTTGATTTGCGAGCTTAAACTCGTATCTCAAGGAACCACTGTACTTCTCTTTTTTTGTTGGGAATCCCTTCTGGCTTTTTTCCCATTTTCTAACTTCAAAGACTTCCTTGAGCGTTGGCATGACTTCCTTGACGTCTTTCCTCTGGTGTGGCAGCCGCAGGACTACATACAGAATCTCTCTTTGCCATTTTAATGGCCTGCGTTTGGAATGTGTGGCAGCTGGCCACGTTCCCAGGAATCAGGTTTAGTGTTACCAGCTCCAAGCATGTTTACGTTTGCAAAGTGTTGCGGTGCAATGCTCACGCATGCACGCACGCACACACATGCGCACTTGCACATTGTTTCTGACATGCGTCTTCACACCATCTTTTTGAAAAGTAAAGAGCAGTTGGTCTTAACTTGAACACAGATGTCAAACTTGAGGGTTGAGGTCCGGTCTGGCCTGCCTCATCACGATGTGGCCCTCTATTGCAAAAAAAGTGCATCTACTACTTTCACGTTAAATGTTTTTTTTTTTGTTTTTGTTTTGCCAGAAATGTTGGACCAAAAAATTTTCCTTCACTCATAACTAGGGGAAAATTGACACAAGTTACGTCGGCCCGTGGACCCCAGTTTGAAAACCACTGCCCCACTGAATGTGCGTTGTCATTCCACTTAAACATGTATCTTCCCAATCTTTCGCTCTCAGAATTGAACCCCGACCTGGAAGTTTGGCCCTCACTGCCACCCATGCAGAGCGACGAGGGCAGCGACCGCTTCCTGACGGAGGAGGAAGAGGACGCAAGCGAGCCGCCGTCCGCCGGGGGCGGCGACTAGCGGTGGCTGAGAATCATATTAAATCTATATTTTAGGAAAAAAACGTCTGTATCGTTAGAGACAAGTATTGTTGTCGGTGGTACTTGGTGTAAAAACTAAAACAATGACAAGCTGAGACTTGTCATCAAAACAAAGGCAGTTGAGAGCAAAAAAAAAAAAAAAAAAGCATGGACAGTAAACCATGATGCGACATAGTTCATACATGGCAATGGTGAGTGATGAAAAAAGCGGAAAGGGCGTGGCCTTGCCGGGGGCGTGGCCTGGCCGGCCATGCTCACCTTTCGCACTGGAAAAGGTTCGTGTTAGTTGCAGTTGTTGCAGCAGTCGTAACAGTACCGTCCTTAGTGGGAGTGGTTTCAGTCGGAATAGTAGTTGGAAATGTACCAGTAGTTGTAGAAACAGTAGTAGGATAGTAAGCAAATAAAAACAAATACGTGCACAACAAACTGTACGAGGTTAAATATTTACAGTACAGGGAAAGTAGTAGGAGGAAAGGAAGTAATAAATGTCGGAAAAGCAGTAGTTGTATTAGTCGGAAAAGTATTCGGAAGAGTAGTTGTAGCTGTAGGAAAGGTTTATATTGGAACAAAAGTAGAAGTGAGATTTGTTGTGAATGGTTAAAAAAAAAAAAGTTTGGTATTCAGTGACCATGCATTCTTATTGATCAGGATCAATTAAGTGGTGAAAGAAATGCAAAATAAATAAATAAATAAATAAAACCCGAGTGCAAAGTCCCTGCATGTCCCAAAAGTACTTGACCACAGCCGGACCACAAGTCCAAAGTTTGCCAGCACGGATATGATTGTAGGACATGTCACTTACCAAAGCGGACGCCTCCTCGCTGGGAAATATCCGAGCCGTCCACAAAAGAGCTTATGTTAAGTTTAGCCCAGCGACTCCACTTTATTATGTTTCCAGTCCGACTTTATCACAACGCCTCTCCATTCATTGTCGGGAATCAACAACCTCCTCAGTCTCCGCTTGCTGGGGAGAAGTTTTTCCCATAGGCAAAAAAATAGCAGAGTGGAGTCAAACTAGGGTTATTTTAGCAAGTGTAAAAGGAAGTTACTCACCAAAAACGTGTGCACATCTTCGCTAGTTGACTATGTTTGTGGATGGGCCAGTCGTCCCTACCAACATGGCCGCCAGGTAGACACATATATGAGCCCTTGAATAGTGCCGTTTACTGGTGCTGTGGCCAGTGGCGGCCAACTCTGGAAGAGCTTCTGTACAAAAGTGTGTTTTGAGTGGACTCAACACTGTTTTCTGTCCTTTAAATCCAGTATCCGTAGTTTCCGGCTCTGTTACATCGAGCTACCACTGTACATGGTCACTGAACTTTTTATATACAGAGAAGTTTCTTTTCAAGGTAAAACGGTGGCGGAAACCCGAGCCTCCTCCTGATCAAACAAGAGTGGCTCAGGGAACGGCGTCCGAGTGCTTTGGCTGGTGGGGGGCCGACAACTGGGAACATGTGTGGGACTTTGTTTGGCTTCCTACTTAACGCCTTCCTTCTCCTTCAGAAAAGAGCACCTCGTCCAACAAGAATCCGTCCAACAAGCCTCCCGTCGTCCCGATGCCGCCCAAAGTGCCCGAGGACAAAATGCCCAACACGCACTTTGGAGTGGTGATCCACGACAGAGGTAAAGTGTGAAATGTTCCATCTTTCTTCTCTTTTCTTGCCCTCTACACACGCAACTTTGACCCTCCGAGCTTAGTCACTCACTCACATGTAGGCTCGCCGCTCATATCAGTGTCATATCTGCCTGTTCATATCTGTGTTTATAGCTCTTTTAGTAACAGATATTTGAATAAAAACTTCTGATATAACAATATTCAGAAGCATGTATTCTTTATCGTTTGCGAAGAGCACACAGCATCTTACCGAGGAGCTGAGACGCTTCCATTTAGGTCGCCAAAAATGCCCATTGAAGGTTTTTTACATTCTATTTAATTATGCCATTGCTGTATATATTCATAAAGTACAATGTTATAGAGGGCTATTTTTCTTCTTCAAAAGTAGATTAGAAAAATTTGGGGTTTTTTTTTGGTGGGAAGCTAGAACGGATTAATGCCAAATCCATTCATTTCAATGGGACAGAGGACCCTTTGAGCAGTTTTGGAACCATTGGAAAGAAAACAGTATTTTTATGATCTTTTATCAGACAATTCCAGTCTGGATGTGACAATATGACTAACGACAGTTACTTAACCTTCCACTAACCCTTGTCTTCGTCTTCCTCTGCTGCCTGTCTGTGTGCCTCTCAGCTGCTGCCGTAAGTACGCATTCCTCCCGTGATTTATCCTTTCCGCTTCCTCCTCTCCTAATTCCTTCCATCCTTTCCGCCACATCGGGATGGGGCGACGCAGTTCAAAGGTTGACACGTCTTCTCGCCTTCACTTGGCAGTTCCCGAGGCTCCCGATCGGCCCACCATCTCCATGGCCACCGAGAGCTCCGTCTACGTCACCTGGATCCCCAGAGCCAACGGCGGCTCGCCCATCACGGCGTTCCGCGTGGAGTACAAGCGCAGCCGCAGCGCCGAGTGGGGAGTGGCCGCCGACAACATCTCGCCGCTCAAGCTGTCCGTGGAAGTTCGCAATCTGGAGCCTGGTGAGCCTCGAGTGGATTCCTGTTGCTTATGCTTTGCTGCAGGGCTTCTTGAAGTTTTTGGTCCCTGAGAGACTTTTTTATCTTCCCCCCAAAGGAATCCCGTCATAATCCTACACCCAATTAAACATAGAGTTAGCCTAATAGCATTATTACCATGGCCTTTTTCAAAAAAAATCTTAAAATCTTTCAAAAACAAACAAAAACTGTACCTACTTTCTTAGTTACTTTGGAATAGTATGACTCATGCAAAAGTAAAAATAATATTCCTCCAAATAATTACTTGAGTAAGAAATGAAACTATGAAAATAAACTTCTACTGAGTAACTGGTGTGTAAATTTAGATTTATTTAATTTTACTCTGACCGAGCATAAGTGTCAAATAGTCCAAAATGTAAAAAAGGATTGTGCAAATTCACATACCTTTACATGACTTCAAACTAACCAATAAATAATTTTTTTGTTATCCAGCACAGCATTTTTTTGCTTTTCATGTTGCAAAACATTCTCACTTTTCAAGTCGTGCAATACATTTTAAAATACAGTTCAGTTGAATTTAATGTTAAAGTACATACAAAAAATTCTTCATGCAATCCAAACTGGTCAAGTTTTACATCAAAAAATGAAATTTATGGACTTTTTTGACAGGCATTTATAGATTTTAAGGCCAGCTCAGACATCCTCACCCACTTTGTCCACCGTCCGTCCCTCAGGCGCCACCTACAGGTTCCGCGTGGCAGCGATGAACTTGTACGGCGCGAGTCCTCACAGCATGGTATCAAGACAGTACCAGGTGCCCCAAGCCAGCCCCCGCATGGCCGATCGGCCCGTGGTTGGACCGCACATCTCTGCCACCGACGCCATCAGCGACACGCAGATCATGCTGCGCTGGACTGTGAGTATGTGCACTCTACGTAAGGGCTGCGTGTTTTTAAAAGTTGCTGATTGGTCGCTATGAGTTGGCCATGGGTAATATGGCCTTTATATAAAATGTGCCATAAACCCGAGAGTGTATGTGCCATAAATGAACTCTGGTTCTTTCCCTGCCAGAGAGGTGCTATTCCACGTCCCTAGAGCCAGCTTCTGTAGGCAAAGCGAAGCAATGCAGGGCAGATTTATTGACACCACACATTTCAGACAGAAGGCAATTCAATGTGCTTCACACACGCAAAGACGCAACACCTGAAAGCATTTAAAAAGACAGCAGCTAACAACATACAGAAGCAGAGAAAAAAAACAGAACGTACATTGCCAACATTAAACACATGAACAGAAAACTTTGAATCTGAAATCTTGAAACAGTAACAACAACAAAAAAAAGTCGGCATCATGTACATTTGTGTATTTTTAGGGACAGTGGAGACGGTGTTGACAGGGAGTTTGAAGCAGTTGTGAGAACTATCTGTTCTTCCGCCACATTTGCAACAGGTTCCCACATAACCATGCAGCTGTTGGTCTTTGAAGAGCCACGGGGGAATCTTGAACTTGTGAAAGTGTCAAAAAGTAAAAGAAAAATCATGCATACTGAACATTAAGAGTAGAAGTCATGCAGAGGTCACATGGTGCAAGATTAGAACCTGCAAAAACAAGTACCTGCAACCAGTCTGGAAGGGTAGAGTAGAGGCCAATAGAAAAGGACAAAAAACAAAGTGACTTCCCTTCTCGTTCTCATAGCGATTAATTCATATCGTGCAAACTTTCAAGAGTCGATGGGCGCAGATAATTGCCGTCCTTTCCCTAACCTCCGACTCTCATTATCTCTGGTCGACTTCCGCGCAATCAGAGAGCGGACGGCTGATAGCGAGCTGCTCCATTAGCTGCTCGGGGAAAAAAAAGCTAATTGTGGTCTAATGTAACGATTTTGTTTTTTTTTTTCTTCTTCCTTTTCTTCCGCTTGCAGTACAGTCCCTCGAGTAACAACAACACTCCCATCCAAGGCTTCTACATCTACTACCGGCCCACTGACAGCGACAATGACAGCGACTACAAGCGCGACGTGGTCGAAGGTGCGTGGAAATGTATAAACAGACAAAAGCAAACACCTAGAATAATGTTTTGCAAATGTTTAAGCTATGAGCCGTCTTCAACATCGCAGCAGAGATGGCGGACCCTACTTTCTCCCTACGCGAAGCCTGTTGACCGCCATTAAAGGCATCGTGTTAAATTCTGTCCGCCATACACAGTGTAACACACTAGACGACATACAACAGACAGTGTTGGCTTCTCCAGTTGTGGTTTTGCTGAATGGCTTCCAAGTTAATTGGCCGGAGTTGAAATACGAGAGTGGGCAGCAGGGCTACGCAGCGGCTCGGGTTGCCGTCTGGAATGCAAACTAGCCATAGCGCCACAGGAAAGGAAAGGACAGGACATGAAAGGAAGTGGTGGTGCTGGTGGTGGTGGCTGTGGTCGAGGGGCAGGGGGGGTGGTCTTAACGTGGGGCTTCGATGGATGATCCACTTTTACAGCAGGTCAGACTAAAGTCAGTTGAGGCTACTATGTTAAATTTGGCCTTGATTTAAGGTAAATGGCACTTTTGGACCTCGGGTCAAACAGTTCAGGAATTCCAGATATATAATAAATATAGAAATAGTGCTAATAGTAAAAATACGGCAATGATCAAGTAAGTAAATATAAACAAATAATACAATAACTATCCAAAAATATAACAATGAAATAAGTGTAAGAATGAAATCAATATCATAGAATCAAGTAAAAAATATATAATAAATCCCTCCATCCATTTTCTGAACCGCTTTATCCTCAGAAGGGTTGTGGGGGGTGCAATTTAGAGTGTTCAATCAGCCTGCCATGCATGTTTTTGGAATGTGGGAGTACCCGTAGGAAACCCACGCAGGCCCGGGGAGAACACGCAAACTCCACACAGGAAGGTCGGAGCTCGGATTGAACCCACAACCTCTGCACAAACAAATGAAATGTAATGAGGGTGAAAACAGAACATTTTCAGTGATGGACAGAAAGTAAATCAGTAGAAATCACATTAATAAAATTAATTCATCATGAAAATGAATGATACAAATAAGTGATAAAATAATAGAAATCAAGTAAATGTTAAATATGCAATGCAAAATATAATAATTTTATTCGTGTGTGTGTGTGTGTGTGTGTGTGTGTGTGTGTGTGTGTGTGTGTGTGTGTGTGTGTGTGTGTAGTAACAAGTACAACAAAAATAGAAAATAACATTAAAAAGAAAGCATACACATTTATTAATACTGTAACTTTTACATGAGCTACAGCAACTACAGTGTCCAACACCGTGAGATGAAACAACAACAAAAATCCACATTGGTTGAAAATGTGATTGCCTTGCTGCGGCTGTGTGTGTTTTATACATGTGTATCTGTGTTAATACTGGAGTTGAGCCAGCACAAACACAAGCTGCCATATATGGAGCTAAACGAGAGTGAAGCAACTGTGTAAAGGCCCATGGGACTGACGAGACGTGTGCGTGTGTCTCTCTTACTCTGAGTGTGTTGTGCCTGTGTGAGTGTGAGCGTGTGTGTGTGTAATTGTGTAGTATGGGGGGGAGCACAAGAGCGCATGAAAGAACATGACCTCAGCCGAGTGGAAAAAATAATGACAGGATTAAAACCTCCACAAAATGCCACGGCGGTCCTCTTTCCAGAAAGTCACCGCTCACTCTTCTTCACCTCGCCCCTAGGTGTGAAAGACTGGCACATGATCGGTCACCTGCAGGCAGAGACGTCGTACGACATCAAGATGCAGTGCTTCAACGACGGCGGCGAGAGTGACTACAGTAACGTCATGATCTGCGAGACCAGAGGTAAGAACAAGCCAAACAAACAAGCAATTAACACTAAAAGCTGATAAAATTTCGATAACTGATTAATCAATCGATTAATGAAAAAAAAACATGAATTAAATAATGTCTTTGTTGATTCATTAATGCATACAACAATAAAGATATGAAATTGCAGGCATAACCGTTGTTTGAATGTTGTTAACCTATGAACAAAAAAAAAAGAAAATGAAAAATCAAAGAGCTAATATCAGCCGATTAAATGATTAATCTGTCGGGGCCTACTAAAAACATCACCTCCTTAGCGGAGGTAAGAGGAATATTTCAACATCCTTTTTTTTTTTGTGTGTGTTCCTGTTTTCCAGCTCGCCAGTCTCCGGGCTCGGCGAGCCAGAGGCCCGTAACACCGCCGTGGCCTCACTCGCAGGAGCCCGCCGGTCCGCCCGGGGGTCTGCTGTACCTTATCGTGGGCTGTGTGCTGGGCGTGATGGTCCTCATCCTGCTGGCCTTCATCGCCATGTGCCTGTGGAGGAACCGACAGCACAACAACATGCACAGTGGGTGTAGATGTTGAACGCCGCGACAAACGTTTATTGAGCCTTTCTAAACACCCGTGCTTACCTTGAATAAACAGAAGAAAACAATAAAATAAACAGTCAAATAATACTTGAAGTGACAAAGAGACTGATTACTGGTGTTCATCTTGTGAAGGAAAGTAATGGGATGAGAATTGAGCCTTGTGGTATGCCTTCTATTTCCTGCTGCAGAATACAACCCTCCAGGCTACTTGTACCAGCCGGCTGACATGAATGGACATGTTCTAGAATACACCACGTTAGCCGGCACCGGCCACATGAATGGCGGCGTCCATGGGGGCTACGGGCACAGCGTGGGTGGCGGCATGTTGCCCTCAGGGTGCCACCACTTGCACCACAAACACCCCAACGGCCTGCCGCTGCACAATGGCAATGGTGGCCTCTACCCGGGCGGACACAACCATGGTCATGACGGCACCCTGCCCCACCCTCACCACCACCATAATGTGAGTGCGGGACCCCCGAGGTGCCCCTCAGCTGTTCTGTTTTGTTTTTTTTCTATTCTGTTCTGAAATACAATTTAGGAATCCTAGGAAATATAGTCCTACTTGTTTAATGTGAGCTATTTCTGGCGGCGTATTTCCCATGTTTCATCCCAACTTTTTATTTGTAGGGAGGTGGCATGTACACAGCTCTTGCCCAGTCGGACTCTTCAGACTGTATGATCTGTCAGAACCTGTGCAACAATAACAGGTAACGTTTACAAGTGGCGGTGTGATCATGAACGAACACAATTGATTTTGGGTAACACAAGATGTTAGTTTAGAGTTCAAATCTTTGTATGCGGTAATGGGAAGAGAACGGAGCCTTGTGGAAGACCTTAACTGGTGTATATTAGTGTCTTTCGACTTATTTAACTATTAACCAATATGTGAGCTTATAGTAGGTCTCATTTTAAACAGGTCTTCATACATTTAGGGACCATTGGACGAGGTCAAGCACAAAATCCGATAAGCGTCATTTTGACAAAAAAAGAGCCACACAACTACAAGCAGTGGACTATCATGTCACTTTACACAATTCACAAAAAATTGAGATGTCAGCTTTGGCATTTAAACTCTTCCTTCTGTGTGGGATTTGGGTTTGGATTTGGGTTCTGGTTCAAGAACAGACTCGGATTAAGTTTAGAGTTAGGGTTTGTAGGAAGGGTTACAGTTAAGACTAAGGTTTGGTTTAGAAAGTGAGAGATATGACTCGGGTTAGTGTTGTTAATCTCATTAAGCAGCCAACAAGCACCTGCTTAAGAAGCTTTTGCTTTTAAAGCCCGCATTTTTATTTCCCTCACGATGACTCTTCCATTGAGTCCATTTGCGGTGGTCTGTTTAGGACTTTGTCACATAGCGTGTCGTCGGGAGCGAGTCCAGCTGCCTTTTTTTCCTTCTTGCACTCCACGTTCCCATGCTGCTTCCGTTTATGTGCTCAAGGCTCGGCGGCATCACAGTTTACCCTATGTGCAACCAGCCAACACATGGGCTGCGCTAATGAGCCTCCTGTTTATTTATTTAAGCAGGCGGGAAAGAAAACGAGGATCGCCGTCGGGGAGTCTTATTCAGATAGCAGGAAGCGTGGGGAAACCCGATGCTGCTCTTTGAATGGGATTCCGTGTCCTTTGCGGACTTATAAAGTGTCGCATTATGCAAGGACGCTCCTGTGGATTTGAACATAAACACAATGGCAGCGGGTCAGCAACCCACAGACTGACAGACCCATTTTCACTGCTATGTAGATTCAGAACGTAACACACTACAATAAGCAGCAAAGTCATATAATCGTTATCCTCTGTGTAGAACGGCTAACATTCATGCTTTGCTGATGAGCGGAGAGACGTTATGAATCTCACTTGAGTTCTTGGCAAAACAAATTTGAATCCAGTACAGCACATTTGATTAGGACAGTTATTTTACTTAAGCGTAATACATTTGCGTTTGAGTCTGCAGCTCTATTGCCCTCACAAACTTGCGTTTCTGTGCGGCTTTCTAGGTGTTACAACAAGACCAACGGCGTCCTCTCTGGAGGTACGCTTCCCCTCATGCACCGAGTGGCACCCTGCCAGCAGGACGGTCTGGAGATGGTTCCTCTGAATGGAGCGGCGACGTCTCCGTGCGGCCACCGCCGACCACCCACGGGCGAACGGCTGCCCGATGACCTCGATGACCTTGAGGTCGCCCACCCGCCCGACGAGCACCGAGAGTCGCCGCCTTCGCAACGCTCGTGTTGTCTCGATGGAGACAATGCGAAATGTCTGGCAGATGACACAGGTGAAAATTAACATATCTTTCCAGAGTTCCCGATGGCCACCTCCGTCCCTGACACAAATGTATAGTTGAAAGTAATTAGCAAACAGCTCCAACATGTCACGTATTTATTTATTTTATTTGTCTAACCCCCCAAAAAAAAGAAAAATCAAATTTGGTGAAATTTCACTTAATTTAATTGATAATAGATCAAACCTGGAAAGCTTTTTTTTTTTAATGTCATCTGTGTTTCTTTTTTGGGGTGAAGAAGAAGAAGGAAAAAAAAAACAAAAGATGATATTTAACTTGATGCAAAGATGACAATTTTATTTTAGAGCCTCATTTACGATACTAGTTATTGTAATAATTTTAGTGTGACTAACCTGTTCTTTGATTGTTACTTTTGCATGTGTGCACGTGTGTGTTTGTGTGCGCAGCAGAGGAGGATCTGGACTGCGTGCATCAGGACGGTTTGGTGCTGTGCTGGGACACTCTGGGCCTTCCAGACTCGGACTGTGATGAAAAGCCCGGCTGGATGTCCGGCGGGGGTGAGCTGATCCAGGCCAGCCTTCAGGAGGTCTGAGGTCCCTACGGCGTGGGGGGATGGAGGGGTGGAGCTACTGTGGTGATGTCACAAAGAGGACCTGAGAAAAGACAGTCGGAGGACCTAAGAGAGGACTTTTTCCGACAAGGACGGCAAACTGTCGCGGCCACAGGAGACTGAAACGGAACTCCCAAAGACTCCTTAGATGACTTATTTATTTTTTTCTCGTAGTAAACTATTAATTCATATGAATGTATCTGTGTCAAAGAACAAAGTTGTCAGTCTTTTTTATTATTTATGCTTTTTTTTTTTTTTTTTTGCTTTGCCTGCGAACTGGTTTGTGTTTTGGAGATTTAGCGACTTGTAAAATTTTGTAATAATATAAAGAGACGATAAGGAAGAATTAGTCAACACACTGTCAGCCTTCCTCATATTACACCGTGGTGTGTGAGTGAATGAGAGTGTGAATTGGACTATTAGTGAGTGAATGAGTGAGTGCGCTAGGGAGAAATTGTGAGTTAATGTAAAGGAGCGTGTCGGCTGTTGGCAAACGAGTGATTCATTTAATTTGTGAGATTGTGAGTTAGTTGGAGCGTTAGAGTAAACGGGTGGGGATGAGTGAATGAACCCTTTAGAATCAGTAGTTTGTGACTGAGTGAGAACATTGGACTATTAACTTATACAGTGAGTGAGCTTGTGAGTTACAGAATTGGTTAGAGAATGAGTAACTTTAACCATCAGGTCGTCATCAGTCATCCTCCATGTCAAGCCTGGTGTAATAGAAGGTCACCCTGGATGTGTTGTACAAAGCCTGGCAGGTGTACGTGCCCTCCGCCTCCTGCCGCACTTCCTCGACCACCAGGGCGGAGGTGTTAGCGGGCACGCGCACGACAACCACGCCGCCCGGGCGAGCCTGCAGCTTGGGACCGTGACCGTAGTCGTAAGCCAGAGCCACGCTGCTGTCCGAACCGGCTCGGGTGAAGCCCCAGATGAAGATGGAGGGCGGGTCGGCACCGCAGTCCAAGCGGACCGAGCTCCCTGAAGTCGCGGTCACGTTGAAGCTCAGGTACTTCACCTCCTCGGGGTCAAAAAGATCCAGAGCTGTGGGTACAACAACACTTGGTGAGTGAGTGAGGGTTAGCTTGTGGGTTACTAAGTTGGTTGATTATTGAGTGAGTGAGTAAGCATGTGAAAAAGTGAGAGTTAGTTTGTTGGTGAGTGACTGAGTGAGAGTTGGTTTGGGGGTGACTTAAATTGGTTGATGAGTGAGTGAGAGAGTTAGTTGGTGGGTGACTAAATTGGTTCGTGAGTGAGTCGACTTGAGTTACTTCGTGAGTTGGAGGGATAGAGAATTAGTTTATTGAGCGAAAGAATTCAAGAGCTGGCGATTGAGTGTGTTCGATTGACTTTGTGAGTCATTTTTTTCCCCCAACTCAAATCATCTGCAATCCATTTATTTTTAAGATGTTACAAGACGACTTTGAATTCATGCAACATTTTTGGGCTAATATTTTTAGTTCATGCAGGCATTTATGGTTGAAAATATGAATATAGGCAATTATCAACATTTTGTGGGTGCCAGTTGTGTTTTTTTCTCCCCCTCAAAAATTGGCAACAAGTTCCCTAAGTCCCAACTAGGGTTGAAAATATGAATATAGGCAATGATCAACATTTTGTGGGTGCCAGTTACTTGTGTTTTTTTCTCCCCTTCAAAAATTGGCAACAAGTTCCCTAAGTCCCAACTACCGTATCAGAGTATCAATAACCTGCTGGAATGGACTATTTCTCTCTTTGACCTTCTGGCTGAGTGATAATGTTCACATGCAATTTCTGAGAAAATGACTTGAGTCACATTAATACGTATCTTGGCCAAGAGACATCGCAGTTAACCCGGAATGTGCTAGTTCATTTGCCGGCAGTTTGATCACCTTGGCCCGTTTGATCACCTTGAAGGAGGTTTATCATTTCGACAAATGGTTATGCTGGAACTTGTACAGTCGGTCGAGTGCTCACCCTGGAGTGGAAGAAGCAGAATCCAGGTGGCCAGCAGGCAGACTGGAGGAAACATCCGGAACATGCTGTCACACTGTGGTCGCAATTTCTCTCTGCCGCTGATTCTTTCTGGGACGTGTTTGAGCTGCCTGCTAAATTATTTAGTCGGGCTGCAGATTGGTCGTGAGGGTGGAAGGCATTGCGATACTTCATGTTTTATTCAAACGACTGCTGCATGCTGTGTTGTCATGAGAGAACACGTTCATGTATCTTAGCGTACAGTATGTAGTTGGGTTGCAAAAGCGCAAACGTTATGCTTGTTGTACCCAGCAAGGTGTTTGCGGTGTGAAGAGGTGCGCAATGATGCCGCTCCAGGCTGAAAACCTCAGCGCGGCCCATAAAATTGCGCTCATGGAGGCGAGCCAAGACTGAAGAGAAGGCTCTAATTAGTCAACGCTCACAGTTTGATTTGCTTTGGGCCAGGGGAGCCACCACTGACTATTTATAGACAAACATGCTGTAAACCCAACTCATTTGCTTGCCGCACCAACGGCACACACTTTCCAGTTTGTGAGTGAGTCAGTGAGTCAATGATTTTGTTCACAAGCGCTTGTATACACTTGGACGATGGGTAACGAGGCTAAAATTGGAGAAGAAGAGTGCATAACCGACGCAAACTGTCTTTGCATGATGGCTTTGCGACTCACTGAACATACGGACTCTGAGCAACAGAGGTTACAACACCATATTACAAACACTAAAAGTTAAGAATGCATATATATATATAAAAAATATGAATTTTCCAGATTTGGTTACGCAGAGTCCCAGAATGGCTCACGAGTTGAGTGTCAAGGGTGGAAAAGCAGAACGATTTGAGGATGCCACCCCTACGACAAAGTTTGTACCCCGACAGGCACGATGACTAATAAAAGTACATCTTGATGTGTGGTCTCTGAAATGGAGCAGAAGCTTCCCAGCTGCAAACAGCATGCCACTTGAGCAGTGTGGCTCGCTTGGGAAGGAGGAAAGGACAGGGGTAGTGGTTGGGTGGGGTCCGCAGGAAAACAAAGGGATGTCATCATCAGGACACTTGACATCGCTTTGAGCCTTAGCTTGGGGCTCTGCAAAATAATTGGAAAACCAACACGTATGTATCATTTCAAGCACATAGGGACAATAAAACCAATACAAATCAATTCTTCTTCTTTACCTTTGCTTTGGACTCGTGAAAGGTTCTGATATGATTCGGACATATCCTGTAACAACACAGCACCAAGATAGTTTGTTCTTTAAAAAAAAAAAAAGTAATATTTATTGTCCTGTTTTTGGAAAACAAGACAACTCAGAACAACAGAAGTCAATGTCTCTTTTAATAATTAAGAACTAGTCAGTTAAATACAAAAGCACAAACGCATGAGTATTCGCTTGTTAGTTAGCGCCTCAAACCCGTGAGTGCAAACCACTCTGTCACCGTGCTGCCCCAGTGTTGTACCTGATACTCAAGACAATCAGTAATATGGATGAATTTAAGTTTTAGGCCATATTTGCTTGTTAAAATCAGTTTCATATGTTCCGCACAACGCTGCACTACCCACCCCCTACCATAAAAAACAAACAAACAAACAAACAAACAAAAAAAAAGCAACCGTGTTGCATTTTATTTGCACGCTTCAGGACCGCTGTGTTGAATTTGCCCAATAAAGACATCAGCGTGAAAGCCGAAAATGAACGTCAGAAATGAAACAACAAAGGTATTGTTTAGCATTGTCTCAATGAAAATGAATCATCAGTCCCACTGGCTCATTGATTGCTGTTACATGTCAACAGTTGAAATGACTTCCAGATGAACGCTAACTGGCTTCGTTTGCATGAAGTCAACACAAACAAGCAGGAGGCATTTACAAATACTTTTCTTTGGCGTTGAAGCAGCTTTGGCTACGAAGCGTCTGACGCAGGACCAATTCCGAATCTCTAAATCATTTGAGATTCATTTAATCATCGTCTTATCTCATATTTATAGCCCAATAAGAATCTGGAAAATGTTATTGGGGATTATTTATGTAGTTCATTGGATTTGATGGATAATGAGAAAATGAAATTTCATGGAGGTAAATCTTTCCAATCATAGTAGGCTGATTACAACAACGTAGTGAAAAAAAAAAAGAAAACATTGCTTGTAATGTTCACAAAACCTAAAGTTTGAATTTGAACAGATCTCAGGTTAGCAATAAATCAAAGAAATAACTGCTGAAAGTAACACTGACACACTAAATCAGAAATCGATGCACTCACTCACTCACTCAGGGTTAGCAACACGCTTATGGGGACCTGGTAAAGGCTTTCCGTCTGAGTCAAAATGGACCTTTTTGTTTTTGGCATCAGATGAGAGAGTAGACTGAGACACTCTGACTGTATCTGCGCAACACATTACGGCCTCCCAACACGTGCAATGCAATTCCGCACTGTAGTCGCACATGCACCGGGCAGGGACCACCTGGATGGTAAAAGGCGAGGTACAAATTCAAGTGTGCCCCCGTTGGTGCTGGCAACGTAACGCTCTGATGTTGATCAGCGTTTTTTTTTTTTTTTTTTAACTTTTTGGGCCCCAGGGAATGGCTTACAAGGGAGAAGAAAGGTTTTCAAAGACCCCCTCAATGATCTTTATAACAATTAAACATAACGAGGTGTCCCCCCTAATGGATTCCCTGGTCCCCATATTCATAAAAATCTGACGAGTAGAAGCCAGTGTTGCTCCAGTCGGGCTCGGGAGGTTTCGCTTGCGTTTGAGAGTTGCAACGCAGAGGGATTTTTTTTCAGCATTTCCCACATGGCTGGGATCGCTGGATTTTTTTTTGTGTGTGTGTACTTGCGATCAGAGCTGTTGCGATATGTCATTTAAAAAAAGATGATATTATAATCATTCATTGTTTCATCTGCAATTCACCGATGGCCCTGGAAAAGAATGTCTTCTCTATAGTCAAATGCGGGATGTTATGGTGGAGCCCTCCAGTTTCTGCCTTTCAACCAGCAATAAAATGAGTGTGCGGCACTGCGAGAGACATGATTTCACTTGTGAAGTTTTATGATGAAACATTTTTGGGTTGTTTGATGCTATTGGAAGGTGAATTGGGAACAGTAAAAGAAACTCAAGATCGTAACAATAAGTTTCCAGGTATGCAGTCCACCTCTGGTTGTGTCAACTTATGGCTTCCAGCTTTATTTTTTTGGAACGTGGAAGACATGAATGCATTACGTTTCGTTCTTTCTTTTTTTTTCCTCCCCGGAAAACTAACTTGAACTTTTGAGTTTCTCAAGAGTGGTGTCGGCATCTGGAAGCAGTAGAAGTCTTGTCTGGAAGATAAAGTAAGGAAGATATGAATGCCAATGTCCAGTCTGGGATCAATTACTGAGAAACGGAG